GTGATGAATACGAAGGGCAATAAACAATCAGAGCAATGAGAAGAAACTTTGTTGCCATTACTAACCACTGGATCCACTGAATGACTTTGGTCAGAAAATTTGAGTGTTATAAATTCAATGAAACTTTCAATATGACATTATTATACCTTGTCATCGATCCATGCATAAAAACTTTCCCCATGATAGTAATCATAGTAGTTTATTATTATAAATTTACCATTCATTGAAGCTTCACTATGATATTGTTATAATAAATATCAATGCAACATATTAACTTTTGTTTGGTTTATGAGCAAGCAAATTGAAAATGGTGTATAAGTTATAGTTTCAGTTACAAAATACAATATAGAATCAGTTTTTGTGTTGCTGCTCAATGACTAGATACTTATGCATTTACTTAACAATTACCAGCTAATTCAGTATATTTTTTTAATAGTATATCCACAAGTTTATCAGCTCTCGTAGTATTCTCTTCTTGAATCATTTTTATTAAAAAACCAAAGTCATTCCCATCTTCTTTAATAGAAGCTTTAATTATAAAAAGAAGTTCTTCCATTTTATCACAGCTGCTTTCATCAAGAATTCGCATTTTCTCTCTGTCATTTATGATTCTCATTTCAACTGATTTATCCAACAATGAATTTAAGCTGAGAAGTTCCTTTATCTACCCAGTACACTCTACCACCACCTGATAAGCTATATCTGGTCTGTAGTCATCTATAATTTCTTCAATTTATATCATCATCTATTTTCAACTATATACTTTTAGAGGCTTCTCTCTCAATTTGACTTGATAAATCTGAGCTTGTTATAGCCAATACAATAGGACAAGGTCTATAATAATAACAAATATCATAAATACTAAAATAAAAGAAGGTGACCTGTTTATGAAAATAGTCTTTGAGGGAACTATTCCAATTAATCCAACAGGGCAATGAAGTGGCTTCTTTGCAATGCCAGTTTCTGCATACACTGATATATCAAGACTAGAAAGCATGGGTATTAACTTGTCCACATCTGACTGATACAGCTAAAATAACACAGTAATGGTTTTGCTTCACGTATAACATTAATCATACTATCATTGGATCTTTAGAAGGATGTACAGTCCATCCCATATCTTCTCTTGGAGTCTTTATACATAATTCAATGAAACCATCTGGCTGAACAAATTTAAAGCTGTCAGGACTATCCTTTTCTGCTTTACAATAATTACTCTTTATATACTGAATGTAAATTGACATTATTAGTGTATACACTTAAGTACCATAACTGATGTACCTCTAAAAGAACATCCAAGTCTTGAACAACAGTGTACATACTTTTCCAGTGATTAATCTTTTTCTCTTCATGATACATCATTCCAATGTACTGTACATCACTAAGAGTAAGCTGAGTAACTGCATGTGTGAAATTATCAATTAGAAGCACATTACAACTATAGTAAAAACCTCTGTCTATATCTTCTTTTATTTTCACTTGATCTTCAAAAGATGATATACTCAAAGTACCTAACAATACCAGAAACTGTAAGTGTTGTGTACAAAATAAAATGATGAGAATGACACACTTTTAGATTGTGAATTAGCTTCCTCTGTAATATCTTCACTTGTGCTCATATTAGCTTCTCCTACCACTTGACTATGATCAGTAGCAGTACCACCATCTTCATCATCCGACCCTATACACATCATGCATGACATTACAAATACATCAGAAAGTTAATTATTGGTGATACTATACCTTCAGGTGGTGTATTATAATCATCATCACTGTCACTAGGGGTGTCTCCATTAGTCATTTCAGCTACAATAGCAATGAGACAGAACTTGCTACGTTTTACTGATCCGTATCTCTTTCCTACACTAAAGTATCCTCCTTTAACAGGACGGAACTGGTAAGGGTACTTCAAAGGAGCTCGTACAAACTTGAGGCAACCAGTCTGAGCTTTAGTCCTTAAATCTACACAATGTTGTAACTCTATTACCAGAGGTTTTAATAACGGCTTAGATACTGATATTGCATATACTGCACTGACTAGCATGGTGCCTTTGGGTACCTTAAAGTTACCACCAGCTATTGCAGTAACAGCTACTTCAGTATTATTGGGCACAGCTCCTTGAGGACAATGTAGTCTAAATCCATACTTCTTCCAGTGGAATGATTGAGGGATATCTCGAAAGACGATCTCTTGAACTACAATGAAATTGTGGTGCAGTAAATCTGAAAAAAACAGAATTAAGCATCATAACAGCCAAATTATCCATAAAACACATTATACCTGAATGAGGAAAAATATCACATTGAACTGATGCATCTTTTTCTTCGTACTTGATTGATTTTTTCACCAAACTAGAATATGACAGTCGCTGATCTTTTAGCTCTTTTTGAAGTTGCTCATTATGTTCTTCAAGAGATGCTTTAATCTTTTCAAGCTTTTTGAAATCTTCCTCAAAAATTGCTTTAGCTTTCCTTTCGCTTTCAAGCTGTTCAATATGCTCTTCAAGAGATGCTTGAGCTTTATCTAATTGTTGACGAAGAGTGGTCACTTCTTCAAACTCTTGCTGAGTGAGAGGCTTTTGAGTTTCATATTTTAATAACATATCTTGTAGATTTTTTTCTGTCTCTGCTTTATCTTTTATTACTTCTTGAAGTTTTTCAAGATAAAACTCCCTTTCCCTAAACAATGTAGACTATTAACTGATTTTCATATTCAATACTAAGTTCACTAACCTTTCTCTATCACTCAAGACTCTTTCCAGTAGTTTAATCTGATACTGGTCAAGTGATATTTCACTAATAGACCATTCACTATTGACATATCCTGCCATAAAAAAGATACACATGTACCTTAATCTATTTATGACCAGTATCATAACTCTAGGATGAAATTGACCATGCACAGAGCAAGTGTTAATTTTTGAGGGCCAAAATTTTTACCCAAAAATCTATTCTGTGGATTTACATGTAAGTAGTACACAATATATTTCAGCCCCATAAAAATCAGCTTTAATAATTTCAGGGGGTTCAGGCAGCTAAATTTAGTACTAAATGTAATCAAATCAATCAAATTCAAGGGAGTTGCCCCTATCAAGAAATACAATAAAAATTGAAAAATATTCTTTAGCTATTTTTGTAGTGTACGTACATGTACATGCACATGCAGTATTCAATTAGTGACATTACATATTACACTACATGTATATACTCACTGAGTTCCATAACTCTTGTATCACTGAGAGTCAGTTGTCCTTTTATTCCTCCAAATTCAATTATCCAGTTTGTAGTAGGAGTTACATTCCACACTGAAAGAGAATGCCAAAACCTCTTAGTAATAATGTCTGGTAGATTAAACTGCATGAAAGAAAAGATAGTAAAACCTTAAGTATTATTTGCATCAATTTATCATTGCAAATACAGTACAATTCTTTGACTGAATGAGGTCAGTAGTTAATAAAGGTTTTTCAGTTATGGCTCTTACATGTACATGTACTTACCATTTGCTTCCATACTCTTTTGCTTAAGTCAAGTAGCCAGCAATCATTGCGTAGAGATCCACCCATTACTAGTAGATGTGGTCCTGATTCGTTATTAACAATTATGCTTGAATGTGAACACCTTTTGTTAGGCCATTGGGCAGTTCTTCCAGGTTTTGGTAATTCAGAAAGAATCTATGTAAATACAATCATAGTTCCTGATATACGTTACAACTACAAGTAGCTACACGTATTACATGTTGTTAAAACTTAAAAGCAACTTATTTCATGAGAATATTACGCCACTACAATTTAATTCATAGTTAATATTATTACAGTACTTGTTTCCTGATATGACATCTAGTATTGATACATTAGTTTTGCATTAATTACACACACAATTTATGCAGGTGATAATGGAGCCCCACTCAGATGACAACACAGCATTAGGGCACGTACATGTACACACGTGTAATTTTTAAAATTATAAAAATGGAGAATTCTCTCCTAGTCATTTTTGATGAAATTTGGCCTGCAGCCTTTGGTCGTTGGCCCGCTTTTTAAGCAACTTTTAAAATTTATTAAAAAAAATCCAAATTTTATCAGAACTAGCTCAAAGTTGATACACAGCATAAGGATATGTATATGATCAGGAAAAATTATAAAAATTAAGAGTTCTCTCCTGATCAAATTTGGCCAGATCAAAGGCTATATAGCCTTTGGTCGTTGGCCAGATTTTTAAGCAACTTTAAAGATTCATAAGAAATTCAAATTTGATTGGAATTAGCACAAAATTGATACACAGCACAAGGACATGTATATGTATCAGAAAAAATTATAAAAATGAAGAATTATCTCCTAGCCATTTTTGGTGAAATCTGGCAAGACCAAAGACTATATAGCCTTTGGTCATTGGCCAGATTTTAAAGCAACTTTAAAAATTCATAAAAAATCCAAATTTGATTAAAACTAGCTCAAAGTTGATATACAGCATAAAGACATGTATACGTATAAGGAAAAATTATAAAAATGAAGAATTATCTCCTAGCCGTTTTTGGTGAAATCTGGCAAGACCAAAGACTATAGCCTTTGGTCGTTGGCCAGATTTTAAAGCAACTTTAAAAATTTATAAAAAATCCAAATTTGATTAAAACTAGCTCAAAGTTGGTACACAGCATAAGGACATGTATACGTATAAGAAAAAATTGTAAAAGTGAAGAATTCTCTCTTAGCCGTTTTTGGTGAAATCTGGCAAGACCAAAGGCTATAGCCTTTGGTCGTTGGCCAGATTTTTAAGCAACTTTAAAAATTCATTAAAAAATCCAAATTTGATCAAAACTAGCTCAAAGTTGGTACACAGCATAAGGACATTTATACGTATAAGAAAAAATTATAAAAGTGAAGAATTCTCTCTTAGCCATTTTTGGTGAAATCTGGCGAGACCAAAGGCTATAGTATAGCCTTTGGTCATTGGCCAGATTTTTAAGCAACTTTAAAAATTCATAAAAAATCCAAATTTTATTAAAACTAGCTCAAAATTGATACACAGCATAAGGACATGTATACATATTTTTAAAAAATTATAAAAGTGAAGAATTCTCTCTTAGCTAATTTTGGTGAAATCTGGCGAGACCAAAGGCTATAGTATAGCCTTTGGTCATTGGCCAGGTTTTTAAGCAACTTTAAAAATTCATAAAAAATCTAAATTTGATTAAAACTAGCTCAAAATTGATACACAGCATAAAGACATGTATACGTACAGTATAAGAAAAAATTATAAAAATGAAGAATTCTCTCCTAGCAATCTTTGGTAAAATCTGGCAAGATCAAAAGCTATAGCCTTTGGTCGTTGGCCAGATTTATAAGCAACTTTAAAAATTTATAAAAAATCCAAATTTGATTAAAACTAGCTCAAAGTTGGTACACAGCATAAGGACATGTATACGTATAAGAAAAAATTGTAAAAGTGAAGAATTCTCTCTTAGCCGTTTTTGGTGAAATCTGGCGAAATCAAAGGCTATAGCCTTTGGTCGTTGGCCAGATTTTTAAGCAATTTTAAAAATTCATAAAAAATCCAAATTTGATCAAAACTAGCTCAAAGTTGATACACAGCATAAGGACATGTATACGTATAAGAAAAAATTATAAAAATGAAGAATTCTCTCCTAGCCGTTTTTGGTAAAATCTGGCAAGACCAAAGGCTATAGCCTTTGGTCACTGGCCAGATTTTTAAGCAACTTTAAAAAATTTTTTAAAATCCAAATTTGATTAAAACTAGCTCAAAGTTGATACACAGCATAAGGACATGTATACATATAAGAAAAAATTATAAAAGTGAAGAATTCTCTCCTAGCCATTTTCGGTGAAATTTGGTTGCTCACGCAATTTTTGAGCAATTAAAAAATTTTTTAAATCCAAATTTGACTAAAATTAAGTCAAAGTTGATACACAACATATGTACATGTACATGTATGTATTTAAAAATATAATTCTAACCATTTTTGATTTTTAAGCAATTAGCTTTAAAAATTAACATAAAATCAAAATCAGCTTAAAGTTTCTACACAACATAAGCACATGTATATGTATCAGAAAACGTAATAATATAAAAAATTCTCTTCTAGTCATTTATGGGACTTTTCGACTATGTATGCAGTGATCTTGCATGCTGCTATAAGTTAATGTATTCATGCATCAAGATCTTTCATATCTATTTATACATCTGGACATGTACAATGCTTTAGCCCACATTTGATTAATATCATAGGAATTCACTATACATGTTTTACATTTGTTAGTAATCATTAATACACCACCCACTCATGTAATGGGATTTGAAATGCACAGTAAAAGATTCACTTACCACTGACGTTGTAGTAAAATCAATAAAATATAACTTATTGCTGGACCCATTCGTAGTGATGCTACCAAAAAACACAGCACTGTTCTTAGTGATCGAGGTTAATGTGAAGTCATCAATTGGAGGTGGTCTGTCTCCAATTACAGAAGGTGATAACCATTCATCTAAAAGTAATAATAAATAATTATTATTAATAGAAACATTATTACTGAATAACTTAACTTTCACAATTGTGCTAAGACTTACAAATTAAAAATCTGCAAAATATGTACCGTACTTATAATATGGTACAAGATGGCTGAATTCTTGGGTTTGTAAAAATTAAATCCACAAATGAATTTTGTGAAAATCAGCGACAGTTTAATCCCTTAAAATTTTCTAGCTACATGCACAGTATAGTCAGTGCTATACAGCATATGCACAATTACATGTCACATTACTATACATGTATACCAAAACAGTAAATGCTACTTACCTGTTAATAGTCTATAATAATGAATCTCATTGCTACGAATCAAACCTTGATCACTACTGCTGTACTTAGCACCAGGTTGAGGAGGGGTGTTATCAGACGATGGTCCAACTCCGCCAAATAAAGCAAGATAGTCTTCATTATCTAGTTGCAATGCTACCATCCCAGAGTAGGACTTCATCATAGGGCCATGATGAGACGTATTTGACGAAATTTCTTTCCAGTTGAGATCATCGACGTTCAAACTAGTTAAGGTATTACAATAACAATTAGGGTGGCCGTAAAATCCTCCGAAAAAGAAAATTTTATTTCCAGCAGCTGCAGCTGCATAGCCTTTAATACCCGGTGGAGGGCTGCCTGTGGTGGGATTTTGCTCCCATCTTCCTCTTTTTAAATGATAAGTCTCAACAACGGATAGGACTGGTTTCTTTTCAGTCCCAGTAGCACTATCAGGCAGATACCCTCCCCACATGTAGAGGCAGTCTCCTACCTTTACTGTAGAGTGGCTGTCCCTCTTCACTGGTTGATAGTCTAAAGAAAAAACGAGAAAAAAAGAGTAATTAAGTAGATGAAATGCTTCTCAACTTACTTGTCTCCATTTAAATCTGGGTGTGCAAGAAGGTGTGGCTGCGCATATCGCGACAATGCCTTTTTCCTCCATAGATCTATGTTTCCTCGCAATGACCTGAGCATAGATACTATGGTAGCTGTGAACATAGCTGTGAATCAATGACAGTAATGTACTACATAGTATGGTAATAATAAATCCAGAATATTTGTATATTTGCTCTTAGAAATGTATATATGCAACACAGACAAAAGACATATTTAGATAAACCTAGATCTAACTCTAAATCATATGTCACATTACTAAACCAACTGAGAAACAGTAACAGCACTATCATACCTGACGTTCAAAAAACTCCCACAGTAAGTTATAAATTAGCACTCTGTAAATGTTATTTAAAGCAAAACTAGTCTATGTGACTCAAAATTTACCATAATTATCATACTAGTCTACTGATGATAGATTACTTCATGCAGTAGTTGTCATGCATGTAGATAATCTACATTCCCAAGGTAATGTAATAGTTTTCCCCAGTAGACTATTAAAATCAAAAATCTAGGCTATAGTTTATTTTGCCACTAGCATGGAACTTTCAATTTCATTATGGTTTAATCATTTCATCACCTCCAGTCAGCTATAACGTTAGTCTCACTCTCACGATGGTGTCATTACTGCTTCTCTTAGTTCTTTTCATTCCTCTATTCTCAGCTACCACTGTTAAGGTTTCCAATAGTTCACAGCTGGTTCAATATTTGTGTCACTCTTCACATCAACATGATCTCCACTTGGTCTTGGAAACTTCAGGATCCTATAACATCGATGTTAAAAACTCTTTCTGTGAAATTAAAGTGCATGGATCTCTCTCTATCACCAGTCAATCAAGACATGCTAATATTACATGCAATGGTAAATTCGGATTTATATTCAATGGTATTCGAGTCAAAATACAGAATGTGATTTTCAAAAGTTGCAGAAATCGACTAAAAAATCTAAACAGACGTTCCTCGGTATTACCACCCAGACTGCTTACCTATTATCTTCATCATTCTGTGGCCTTACTATTCATTAACAATCCTCAGGTTAGTATTTCTAATACAAAACTATTCAATTCTTCTGGGTTTGCCATGATAGCGATCAATACATTTAATGTTGATGTGCATGCTACAACCGTAACAACTGATTGCTACTCGGAACATCACGACAAAATTGGAAATGGAATTTTTTTCTATTTTTTTGATCCCAAAAATGGTGGCATACATAATGTTAGGAACATTACAATATCACACAGTCACTTTAGTGGCTCACAAAAGAAAAAGGAGTACAGCAATTCTTCTGCTGTAACAGGAGTAACATTGGAGTACGCACAAAAATATTTCAAAGTGAACTTGGGGATTGTTAATTCAAAATTTAGTGGATTGAGTGCTATAGTTATGAGATTATGGCATGCAAGCAATAGTTACTGTTATATTAAAAAAAACATAATTATAAACAGTGGTATTATTGTTACAGTTAGAACAAAGCATCCAATGCCTAACATCTCTCATGTTTCAACACCAGTAACAATAGAAAACACAACTTTTAAATATCATTCAAGCAAGCCTGCTCTTCTATTTAATATTAGAGTACCCAAAGTGCCAATAAGGATCAAACTTTCAAATGTAGTTTTCTATAGCAACACAGCTGACAGGGGCTCTTGTATTCAATTTAATGTTTTTGACTTCAATGATAAGGTGGATATTTTCTTGCACAAAATTTTTGCATTTAATAACTCTCTCTCACACTTTACTGGAGATTTAACAGACCTTTCTGGGCTATTTTATTTGTCTCACATGAACAAGATAATAATTAATTCTGGCAACTTTAACAACAACTATGGCTCAGTGTTTGCGGTCAAAACAGGAAAAATTTTTATGTCTGGAAGTGTCAATTATTCACAAAATGTTGCCAATTCTGGAGCTGCAATGCATCTAATAAATTCCCACCTCACTTTGAAAGGTATAAGCCTTAAATTTACTAATAACACTGCTATAGGACTAGGGGGTGCCATTTATGCCCACAACACAAACAAAATGCCATTTTCAATTTTCAAAACAAATGACACCAGAAATAATGTAAATTTCATAAATAACATTGCCTTTCAGTCTGGAAACTCCATTTATGCCTATCCATCCATGAATAGTACATACTGGAAGTCCTTTGTTTTTAAAAGTGCATCAAATGATAGCATGTTGTACGAAGTATCAACTGAAGCAGTGAGAATAGTTTCTTGTGAAAGACAACATAACAAAAATATCTATGCGGGACAAAAATTTACCCTCTTTGTGAAAGCACAAGATCAATGGAATCGTAATGTATTTGATCTTGTTTTTATCAATGTAGCCAAAGTACAGTCGTCTCAAATTATAACCTCTGACTGGCACATACCAGTCATAAATTACTACCAGATCATAGAGGAAAGAAGAGACCATGCTTGTACAGGCTTGAACCTAACCCTTCTAACCAATGATGTTCGTAGCTACAACGGAATGATTTCAATATCAGCTTATAACAACTTAAATTTACAATATGAAATAGAACTTAAACCCTGCCCCATTGGCTTTGAAAATAAAAAATATGAAACATGCCAGTGTGACTCACTGATTGATTCTCCGTCGAGGACGTGCGACATTTCAAATCAAACAATCACTTCAAACGACATATTGTGGATTGGTAGCTATACAGTTAATAATGTATCATCATTGGCTTACTCAGAATATTGCCCTGTTGCTTACTGTGGAATAAGGGACATATTTGACAGCCAGAAAACTATCAAAGTGACTGATACCAATGACTTCAAAGTTGTTAAAGAGGTAAATCATTTACATGTACTAACCGGAATGTGTGAATCAAACAGAGGTGGGGTGTTATGTGGACAATGCATCAATGGTACCAGCATTGTTCTTGGATCTGATAACTGCCATGTTTGCAGTGACTGGTGGTTGCTAACTTTGATAGTTTATTTGTTACTTGGCCCTTTAATCATTTACTTGTTATATGCTCTAAAACTGACGATTACAACTGGTACAATCAATGGCATTATATTCTATGCTCAAGCTGCCAATTGTGGAATAATAGAATTCATTCTTTATCCTATATATAAGTATTACCAGAACAATATTATAGCTCATTTCTCAAAAGTAGCCATATCTTTTCTAGAAATTTTAAATCTTAAAACTGGACATGCTTTTTGCTTATACAATGGAATGACAATGCTTGTGAAGAATTTTTTTGGTTTAACATTTATCCTCTACTTGCTATCACTTGTGATGATAATTATTATTTTCAGTCGCTATTCAACAAGATTAGCAAATAGAATAGCAAATTCGTCAATTCAAGTTTTAGTCACTGTTTTACATTTATCTTTTTACAAAATAATGGATTCAGTCATCAAAATATTTTCATACACTAAAGTGCATACAAAACACTTTGGCACAGTAAAAGTTTGGACATACGATGGCTCAGTTGTTTATTTTTCAAACGAACATGGAGCATTGATGATCTTCACACTTTTCATTGCTAGCATACTTTTTGTACCTTATATTGCCTTACTGTTAGGCGGAAGAGTGCTATTAAAATACAGTGACAAGTTCAGACCAGTATATGAAGCCATTCATGGTCCTTATAAGGAGAAAAAGAACTACTGGTTCACTGCAAGGCTGTTTCTGTTAATAGCTATTAATGTCATATACATATCCCTTCGTTCTGTTAATCCCAGCTATATTGTACTGTTCACCAGTGTATTGCTGATAGTATTTACAATAGTACAAGCTCATATCAGACCTTTTAAGAATCATTTAATCAATATGCTGGATCTGCTGGTGATGACATTGTTTCTCTTTCAATACATATTCTGTTGGTATGCATTTGCTAATGAGCCCAGTCATTGGTATTACATTTGGGTGTTTGTTGTCTCTGCTTTGATTCTTTTTCTTCTTTTTGTGGCCATAGTCATTGGTCACATTGTGTGGGTGAGTGGCAAGGCTCAAAAGTTAAAGCAATTGTTCAGGCATGCAATGCCAAAAAGAGTCGTCAGTTCAAGAGTTCAAGAGATTGTGCTGCAAAGACAACGAGTGAGGAGAGAAAGTGAGTTAGATTCGTCTTACTATGGATCATGTAACTATCGTGAGCCACTACTTGATATGTGATTTTAAAATTATAGCTCAAGTTTTACAAATGTACAGTTAATTGTATCTATTTAATGACTTATCACATTAATTAATCAGTTTGTATTTCTTCATATTTTTTGCTTTTTGAAAAAAATTTAGAGAATAGTAAAGTGTTAACTTATAGATTTGTGCAATGCGTAAATTTGGTCAGAATCATTTTTTAACTGATGCATACATGACGCAAGCATAGTTCTTATACAATTAAGCAGCTGCCAGTCTTATTGCCCTCATTAACGCATCCACGAGATAAGCATTTGGAATCTTAATTGATGGACTCACCAAATTGTCTATTACAAGGGATTTTAACTAACAGCACAATTATTTCTATATCAATTTCAGTGCAATATTGTTCCATTGCTTCATGATTAAACACATCCTAGCCCAAATAAAAAATAAAGCACACTTAATTTTCTCATTGTTTAATGCTTTCATTACTTAAGTGATTTTGTTGAGCTTAAGAGCGACAACATTGTAACTTGTTTTCTACAAAAAGAGAAATAAATAACATGTCTCGTTTTGCCCCTTTACTTGTTTCTTCCTTTTAATTAGAAGTAGTGATAATAGTGATACTAGTGATATTAGTATTACTAACAATAGTGCTGTAGCACCAATTCCAGCCATTACAATGACTATGTAACCATCAATAGTGATGATACCTATGTATTGATAAATTATGCTGATATAACTCATTGCTTACTTGATGATGGAGTTGAACTCATTGTTGTTGACATGTTTCCTATAAATTATGATAACAAAACACATTATTACTGAAAATACGAGCATCAAATGACAAATAAATACTTTTATCAGTAATGCTTGCATATTCAGTAGTATCAACACCAAATCTATTAGACACTTCAATTGCTATTGACAAAGTAGAATCATAAATCAAAGATGTGATATCCACTTTGATTGGTATCAATGTCTTTTGCGTTGTATCAAATTTATCTGCTGTGATCATAATCTTTATTGACTTTAGTGGTCTCTGGTAATAATCTCTTTGCAATAGAATGTAAGTGTAATCATTGATCATATCGCTATCACAAGGCCTTGCAACCTATATGACATTATGGTATTATAGTGATTTGTGTAGATAATAGTTTTACATACATAGAACTTGATATAAATAGAACTGCTATTTTTCACTACCTCTAGTTCATCAGATATGCTAGGAGCTGTAAAAATAGAATAATTTTAATGCAATATTGAGGATGGCTGAATGTCTAACCTGAAATGAATGTAAAATTTGTAGGTGCTAATTTTATTTGACTATAATCCTCTTTGAAACCAGCTCTAACTCCCCATTTATACCAACTGCATTCTATGCTACTGATTAAATCATTCCTTGTTATGGCAATAAATGTTGTATTTGACATCAATAACAACACTCTAGTTGTAGAATTGTATATACTTATCCGATATTCAAAATGTATGTTTACTAAGGAAGAATTTATGGGAGCTGACCAAGACAGAATAATCGTACTACTATCCTTTACATGTTGAGAAAGAAACTTGGGAGGACCTAAAGTACATATAATACTGTTCAAATTTAATTTGCCTTTTTCTCTTACCAAAAATAATCAGTTTTGCAGGTTCTGATGCCACAATTGAATATGATGTAGCCGTTTTATTTCCACACGAATATTGAACTTTGTACAGTCCACATATAATTTCAGATATATTGAAATCGTAGACCTCTTTGACTCGAATTTGAAGAGAAGTGAAATTTTTATAGTCATTCACAAATAAAACTATATTACTGCCCTGTGGTAGGTAGTTGAAGGATGAGCTAATGATGTAATCATTGAATGACCAATAGACGGAGCTATTTGCTGTATATGTGCAGGTGAACTCTACTGTATTAGACACTGTGGAGGAGTTTTGAGTCATTGGAATAATATTAGGGCATGGACCTTTAGCAAACTCCTTGTATTCAGCCTTTTGAATCCCTTTCATGCACATTGATGATGATGAAGATGAACAGCAGATCATAGAATAGAACAACAGAAAAAATATCATCATATCAATAGCAGGTCTTTTCTCTTTGCAGGGCATAGTTCAGGTCACTGAGGGCAGGCTAGTAAAACAAAATAATTATATCCATTCTCCAGAATTCCACAGTCTAGGAATTAATTAGAAAGTCTCTAATTATTTAGGCCATTGAATTAATTAACGATTGTGACGTCATGGAAAATATGGCCTCACTGCACCTGTTTTGTTTCTTTCTCTCATTCACTTCATTGGTACACGGTGAGACATAATTATATATTCTACATAATTTATGTCTATTTTTTAACATTAACTACTTTCAGGCTGCTGTGAAAACTCGCTGAGACTCTACGATGTCAATGCAGACAATGAAACCGATTCAATGAGTGAGGGAGCAGTCCAGTATTGCTATGGTGGGACTTGGTACGGTGTCTGTGATTATAGCTGGTATTGCCAAGAAGCTAATGTCGCCTGTCGTCAGCTAGGATTTCTTGGAGCCCGTAAGATATCGTATTTATGTTGACTTGTTTTTTTTTACATTTAAAAAAGATACTTATGTTCGCAACAGTGGGAACTCGTATGGCTATTACAGCCCTATCAGACACTATTATTATTCTTGTAATGGACATGAGTCTTCGCTTAGTGATTGCAATTCACATTATCTGAATAGCTATTACTGTCGTTCATCTGATGCTGCTGGTGTACGTTGTGTTGACTTACCATCAAATACAACAAGTAAGACTTTTCTTTGTTTCCATACATTGTAGACTAAGACTATACACTGGGATGTGGCTAATATGCTGGTGGCATAACTTCAGCATAATGGGTGGGCACTCGTGATGGGTACCTTAAGCCTACTATTTTTAGTGTCTACTAAATTTAGCTATATTAGTGAGAGCTTTAAATCGCTAAATTAAATAGACGCCAAAATAATTATTATTCATTATAATGGCTATTATTTATAGTTAATTTGGTTAAAAATGCTAAAATTAGTAACGCTAAACATGACTTTTGCTGATTTCGCTAAAATTAGTAGACGCAAATAATAGTAGGCTTAAGGTAAATGGGAGGGAAATTATTCAAACTCTTGAGTTTACATCAGTGTTAAAAGAGCTTTCATTAACTGTGGTAAACATGATAAACGTGTGAACATTACTGATAATCATTGACAAAGAGATGGCAAACATTGGCAAATACTGATATACATTGATACACAGTGGTAAACATATATATAGGTAAACAGTGGTAAACAGTGTAAATCAAAGTGGTGCTGCTTGTCTTCTTAGTGATTTGGAAAAAGAAGAAGAAATCGCATTACTATAATTTTTATGTGCAATGAAAATAATGTTATTGCTACAATTGCTTATAGCATTAGCTAAAAATAAGAATAGTTTGTATAATAGAATAGGTAATTGTCACTTTATGGGCATAATGCTCATGCTGTGGATGGCATTTATGGCATATGATTAAACAGGTTGCTAGATCAGTTTGTATTACCACATGACAATTTTAATTGGACATAATTTTGTTAATTAAATGCTCCCATGAAAGTTTGCAGCATTGTTTGTATATTGTCAATGACAAGGGATTGGGACACTTGATAATACACGCAAGTATGAATATTTTTATTAGTAACACGGTAGCATTACTAAGTAGGATTCACCCCACTTCAAAATGGCTGCCAAAACTTTTGCAGCCTTGCTATTAAATCTTAAACTGGTAATAAGAATGCACAGGTTGTCCCTCACTCAAAAAGACACATTGCCCATAGCAGGGCCCTTCAACCACATATTCATGCAGTTGCACATAATATTGTATATTATCTAGATGATACAGTAGTGTCCTGCTCAGTGCCTGGATCTGTGCAGCTATCAGGAGGTAAACTTGAGTCTGAAGGAGTACTGAATTATTGTTCTAATGGCTACTGGGTTCAGTTTTGTGCTTTGGATGAGGAAGAAGCAGTAGTAGCCTGTAAACAGTTGGGCTATCAGCCTTTTGCAGGTAAGCATAAGATGTGTCATATTTTGTGTTATTTTTAACAACTTGTAGCTCTTATTTCTGTTGCTGAGCTTGATTCATGGAATGAAGGATACTCGCCACTTGCTGTGTCTTGTAATCGCTATGCCACTGAAACAAATCTGAGCAATTGCTCATTTTCCAGTACCTATACAAATAACTATTACTACAGTTCTGTCTGTACTGAAACATGCACACATCCTAAAGCCATCAGATGCTATAGTAAGAGTATACAGTGTTGATATAATAATTCAATATTTCATAGGAGGGGACTTGTGCGTTGATGGGAAGGTCCGTCTAGTTGATGGCTCACTAAATCAAGAAGGAAGAGTAGAAGTCTGTGTTAATGGAGTGTGGGGCTCCATTTGTGGACAAGGCTGGAGTACTAGTGATGCTAGAGTAGTGTGTAAGCAGTTAGGTTATCCTGACACTGGTATGATAGCTAATCACACTGTTGTAATGATATAGATTATCCCACTATATAGAGCCCTATATATCAACCAATGGGAAATATGGAGCGGGGAATGGACCCATTTTCTTCTCAGGTGTTAGCTGTCAAGGATGGGAGAATAGTTTTTCGTTGTGTGGCAAAACCTCTTATCGTCATTTCACCTGTAGTCATAATCATCTAGCAGGAACACTTTGTACTGATGGTAAGAAAGGGACATAGAAACAGAGAGAGGGAGGGAGGAGAGAGATAAAGCTTGAGAGATAAGAGTGCAAGATGTGACAAAAAGAGAATTAAAAAAATTAGAAAATAATGTCCTTTTAGGTTGTACTGAAGGTGAGGTTCGCTTAGTAGGAGGTTCATCAGATAGTGAGGGAACTGTTGAAATCTGTCATGACAAACTATGGGGACTCATAACTGATGCTGGCTGGGACAATAAAGATGCCAGGGTCATATGTAAACAGCTTAATCTGCCAGTGGAAGGTTAGATGCAAACTCTGGAAATTCTCAAGTTGTTAGGCCATAGACCCTGTGCTATAATATAGTGAACTTTGACAAAAATCACAAAGAGAGAGTTTAATTTTTTCTGATACATATACATGTCCTTATGTTGTGTATCAACTTTGAGCTGATTCCGATCAAATTTGGATTTTTTATGAATTTTTGAAGTTACTCAAAAATTGGGCCAAAGACCAAAGGCTATAGCCTTTGGTCGTTGGCCAAATTTTATCAAAAATGAATAGGAGAAATTTTTTCGTTTTTATAATTTTTTTGATACATATGCATGTTCTTATGTATCAACTTTAAGCTGATTCCAATCAAATTTGGATTTTTTATGAATGTTTGAAGTGACTCAAAAATTGGGCCAAAGACCAAAGGCTATATAGCCTTTGGTTGTTGGCCAAATTTTATCAAAAATGACTAAGAGAAATTTTTTCGTTT